TTCGACGAATTAAGTTCGACTAAGATTCGACTTTCGCCCTAGGCCTAAGTGGTCTATACCTGCCTCTTTGAAAGCCTCTGATTGATTTCATTTTGCACCAGATGAAGTTTTAAGAAATGCGGTGCTTTAATATCTTGCTTTTGATTGGTGTTACATTTATTCTCGCCATTGAAACTGGAGGACAATTTGAAATGTCCGATAGGGAAAACCACGCTCACTAACAATACCGAACACTGGGTCTGGTTTGAAAGGGTCCGAAGAAACTGTCAACGATAAGAGAATATATGCTTTAGTGCCATACATCAAGGCCACTTCGGAACACCAACAAAGAGCATTTAAATCTCACGATGTCACACTTGTGCACAAGCCTTTAAATTCCTTGAGACAAGTCAACGCTAGTTTGTGCTAAGGATAAAACGGAAACCTTAAAAAGTGTGGAACAGTCTATCACAGCTATCGCGAACAATGTGACGAAGAATACGTTAGCGAAACCTCTCGTTTATGAGAAACTCGAGTAAAGGAACATCTTTCGAGGAATTCGTCAGCTGTTCATGAACATTGCCAGCTCACGGAACATATAACCTTTCTTAACATTCACATTTGTATTGTGGCTGACGAAGTTCAAAAGTTAAAATGGCTACATTATGTACAATACTATCTACAGTACTAACCTTACTTACAAGTTGACAATATCACTTAATGTTATAACACTAATTTTACTTATAATTCTAACATAGTTTACAATAGTAACATTAATAACCAGTTAAGAATAAAACGCATTTCTCACAATATCGTAAGTTTAGTTACAACTATACTAGCAATACTTAGGAAAGTAACACGACTAAATTTTTACGTGGACTAAATTAGTGACAAAAAATTGAAAAAAAGTAGCGATAATAGTAGTAATAATATGGCCTTGCACACGGTGGGCGAGCCTGACATTTGAATTAAACAGTCAGGATTCTGCAGGCGGGAAACACGCTACTGTCCTGACGTCAAATGCATTTTAATAGGCCACGTTCGAGATACCAATATTCCAACATCAATCCGAGGCTTTCGGGTCAAAATTGCCAGTTTTTTTTTCCAAGTTTCCCTTTGTCTTTCAATGCCCAAAAGAGACTTGGATACAAAGAAAACACCGCCAAACGTAGAAGTTTGTCCTGAAAGCCTCGGAGCCATGTTAGAATATTGATATATCGAACGTTGGAGACGGCATTAAATATTCACGAAAAAGGATTTTTTGACTCCAAAAGCCATATCAGATTGTAAAGAGTGAAATATATGAAACATTTTGCATTGCGTCTCTGACCTTTTAATTTAGCGCCAAAAATGGGTCTTCCGCGCTGGGCAATTCAACTCGCTCTTCGATCGCTGTCGCCAGATAGGATAATAGTTGTCACTTTGCACATTTTGAACAAAATATGCTGTTCCTCGTCAAGTTAATTAAAACCAAAATTCTTGACTTGAGTATAAGAAGAAGCCAAAGCTTTTTAGAATTGTCTTTATTTTTTGTTAGCTGTGAAGAAAAAGACTATTATCGTGTGGTTTCGGTAGGACAGCTAAGTTTTGACCACAGCTCGTACTGCGGGCGCAGCCACAGTATGCAAGGATTGCCTTGACTTCTAATTCTGTATTGATTGATTAATTCATTGCAATTGATTGATTGACTTATGGTTTGATTGATTGATTGACTAAATTTTTTTTAACTACTCCCTAACTTGTAATGGATTATGAATTGTGATTTGGGTACTATCAGATCTAGACGTCCTTTAAAGTTTATGATTCCATGGCCTGTATTCTTGACTGGCAATTAACAAGTGCATTATAATGTTACTCAGTAAATTTTGTGGTTGAATCAGACGACAGAGGAAATCTTTGCGAGGTGTTGCCAGCAGACAAATGTCAATTTTAAGTCTGGGCAATTTTAGCGAAACCATTCGTATTACCATTACAGTAAAAAAAACTACTTTTTTTCTGATATTTAAAGCGAGCGAACTCCAAGAGTGCATGTATACTTCAATTGATGTTTATTATCAGTGTGCTATCTGCGAGTGACTCAATACTTCATTGTCACATCATTCGTCTTCTTCCTGTTCTCTGTAAGGAGGGAAAAATCACGATAAAAATTCATTCACTGAATAGAGAGAGGGTCAACGTGTATACAACAAAGCCGAGTAATATTGTGGGAAATAAAAGTTTACTGTTGCACGGTATTTCAGCATGCTAGAAGGAGACCGCGTAGACATGTGCATTCATTCTTTCTCCTTCCTTGTTGCTGTGCGCCCCAATCAAGTATTGATAAACTATCCATTCCGATAATACTTTAAGGCATTTTCGCTTAGACTTTATACGCTTTGCTGTACAACCTTTGTCGAAACAGCTGTAAGTAGGCGTGGCTAGAGCTGAACTCTCACACTGCACCCCACGCACAGAATAATTCAGCCAGAGTGTGTATTACGGCGCCAGAAAAAAAATGCGGACTTTTCGTGAAGGTTGGAGATTGTGTAATATGAAGAATTTGTGTCACCAGAGTTGCGTCAAATTTAAAACTCCATGAGTGATGTGTGCCAGAAATTTTGCTTCATTACCACTCTCCTGGTCAAATTTGATCTGGATATAAATTATTTTCTTATATCAGCAAACACATCCTGAGAACAATGCGGAAAACCATCGAAACTGGAATTAAGTAGGATTATTATTATTATTATTATTATTATTATTATTTTCTTTTTGTGGCGTAAGCAGAGGAATCACATTTCCGTTGCCATGGCCACCGCCAGTAGAATGTTAACTTGGACCTTATCAAAACTCTATTGTCACAACGACATGAAGCAGTTTTCCAAAGTTCCTGAGCTTTGCGCTCCCAAAACCGATTGAATACACATAACTCAATAATTAAGCGAGATTCTAAACAGAAAAATGGCGATCCGAAGCGAATTTAGTCGCATTTGAACAACATGCGTACATATTGCGAAACACATATGAAGCTGTAGTGAAATCTCGCGTAAGTTCGTTTACCTCAAATTTTCGCTTCTGTTTTCGAACTAACCATAAAAATACTTTCCTGTTTACCTCAAATACCTTTAGGATTGTTTTTTGCTTCAAAAAAACATCTTCAGGATCTTTAGAAATCGTCCAGATGGCGCAAATCGTCAATCTTCAATGTCGGCCATATTGAATTGATATGCGTGTAGGCCACATTAAACTGTCTTAGCTCAAATTTGCAGGGAGACTGAGTAATTCACTTTACGCACTCTACCAAATCTCAGCGCTATCATTTAATTTACCAGACGAAAAAGTCTGGTTTTTAAAGGACCTGACTGGAATGAGAATTGGATTCATTTAAATTTATTTCATGGTGCTTCGTGTAGTAGTACTTTGATAGTAGCCGGAAAGCAAGAAATACGAAACGAATAGGACGGAATCTGAATTCTATCACATGAATGGAATAGAATAGCATAGTTTGAACAAAGGTTTGATTTGTCTCAATTGCAACAGATGAGAAAAATCTTGAGGAATGACAGTAAGGCAATAAGAACAAAAACAAAACAACAACAACATTCATGATAAACAATTTTACGTAGAGCACATCTATATTATACAGGCAGGAAGGTGTTACCCCCGCACAACATGTCATCAAGAAAATCTAACACGTACCAGAATCATGTAGGATGTCTGATCTGGAGTTTCTTTCCATAACAGGTGCTGCATTGGGATTAGAGGCTGGTGTTGTTCTTGTCTTAGAATTTGCTCTGAATTTTACAAACAACTTCCGAGTAGCATCCTGAACCTTAAAGACATTGAAATATGAATGAGTACTGTTTCTGTTTTCCTGAGTATTTTAGGCGAGGTAGGATAGGATTTAGGCTGATTCTTAGACGGTCCTATGTGGGAACCATTGCAGTAAGACGTGTGAGAATTATTTCGTATTTAATAAATAGCCCTAGGCATTGTCAATAAGATGGGATGCTTTTGTTGGCCACAACGCCGTGCAACGTCTCATCAAGTCCGGATCTTTGGATCTGGCATCTTGGATTTTATTTCATTTCAAGTGAAATGATTCAAGGAGGTACAAATTCTGCAATACTTCCTAAGAAAACTGTAAAAAGAGAGTTTCGTCCCAGAAGTGTAGCTTGACTTGATCTAATTAACGTCAAAATTCGATTGCTATCGCAATGTTAAATAAGGCGGAGAAACAGGTGATACAACAAAATTTCGGTGAGGGATAAATGAACAGCTATTGAAAGTTTCAACATTACGTAGTAAATGGTCTTTTAAAAATCCGGAAGAAAAACTCCTTGGATGGTGGCGGTATCCTTCCTTAACCCCGAAACATGAATTCCTTCCCCTCCCCCCTGCACACCATTGACTTATCTTACCTGATCATCAAGGACACAATGAAAGATGAAAAACACAACTCCCTGTAAAAATACAACAAGAACGTGAAAGAATAAGTTAGTTTATGACATTGACACGAATCAAATTTCCTCAGACAACGCTGCAGTTATTGTTTTAGAACACATTAAGGTATCTGGCTTAAAAAAAAAAAAAAGCAAAAACAAAACAAAAACAAAAACAAAAACAAACAAACGAAACAAACAAACAAAAAACAACAACAAATACCTAGGGAATGAGAGAGTTGTGCCAATCTTTGCCTTCGAGTTGTCGAAAGAAGTATTATTATAGTTTGTTCCCTATTATTTAATTTTTGTTTTTTTGTTTTTTTGTTTTTGTTGCATTCATAAACTTTAAAAGCTCAACAAGCAGAGATATCGGCGTGGGATTTGACTCCAGTCACGTTTCCAATCCCTAGATACTACTTTCCTGTCAGAGGTAGAGATCCTAAGTTATTTTCATACTCGAAGATGAATGTTAGTGACTGAGAATGAAATGCATCATCCACTAGTCAGACACATCATAGACATATATCGTTGAAAAGGATAACTTACCAGAACGAGATCAAAACACATACCTGTGTGGAGTTGAGCAATAGAAAAACGTATTCCAAAGCAAGATGGAACTCGATAAAAAAGCCCACTACATACGTAACGCCCAACAAGGGGAGTAGGGCGACAATGCTTCTCAGACCTTTCCTGTGAAGTTTGAAAATATGAGAGGCTCTTAAAAAGATAAAATTAATGCAGTTTCCTTAGGCGACGTCCCTTCTACGCGAAACTTACATAGACAATGAGCAAGCTTTCGTGTTAAACCATGCATTGAAATCTCGA